ACCTGTATTTTCTTGTGCAATCAAAAAATGTTTTGCGACAGAAATCCTGTAGATATAATGTGTCTTATTCTTTAAAGTACTTAATCCCAGTTAGAATCTTAAGGTTCCCCAAATGACCAAAACCAAAATAATACCAATATTGTTTGGAATGTTTATACAGTAGGCTCTCACCAATAACGTTTAATAGGTACCTGAAAAACACCGTTATTAGCGAAAACGTTATTTGTGTGACATTAAAATACATGTAAAAAGGGTTTATTGGTGCCGCCGCCACAAGAATTTCACCCATTTTTTCCCTTGAAGCCCTGCCTAACACTTTTTGTTAGCTGAAATAAAAAGAATTGCTATTCAATCATCAAAATAAAGAGGTTGAGTAACACTTAGCTTGGGGGAGATTTCGAGGTGCTTGGTGTGATGATTGTTCCGTATCTGAGGGCCGCGAACACTTGCACTGTCTTTCATTCTACAAGCTAACCATTTCACAAGAAAATGCTCTGTTATCACTAACAACCTGTTTTTATTGCCTTTATCATTCATAGCTCGCCTCGCATTTCCATCACTACCGAAATATTTTTAGCCAGCGCAATACTCTTCTTGGTCTCCTCTAAGTTCCTCTTAATATTTCGCACTGTAGACTCAGGACAGTTCAATTTCCTCACTTTAAAAGTTCCCAGTCATTCAGGTGGCAAATCACTCCCTCCACCACCTCCCCTAGCCCCTACAGGCAAAAATGCGGAAGCTATTATTGATCACCGACCCTAACAACCACTGGTCATAGGTGAAAATCTCACACGTGGGCGCAGCGCTGTATTCCACTGAGCGTGTGAGAGCGGACAACTGCGTCAACAACATGGTGGCAAACAAACGCTATCATTGATGCGCTCGGACGCTTCCCGCGAAATTTCCGTTATTCAAGAGAATCCAGACGTTATTATTGAAAATGGGTATCTATTGTAACTTACCGTTATTGTCGAAAACGTTATTGTGGAAGTCGTTATTGGCGAGAGCCTACTGTACTATGAAATTTGTTGTATTGGCAGCGAATATCCATTGAATTAGTTTGTGCTTAGTAATCTTTATATATTCAATATAGCATTACTGTGTTGCACAGTAAAGCAAAATTAATTATCTTATAATATTTATTTACAGAGCCAATCAGCCGAGAAGGTTGGACAACTACTTCCAGGGTTCATCAAGGCAGATGAAAGAAATTTACCAAAAGTAGATGTCTTTATGATTGTAGAGTGTGATCAAGAACTCTGCCATCTCAAGCCCATTCCCTGGCCATGGTCGTCCCTAGGCCTTCCGCAACATTAAATAGAGATGAAAACTTACATTTTCCAGAAATGAAATAGTGAACAGTGAAGAAAACTTACATTTTCCAGAAATGAAATAGTGAACAGTGAAGAAAACTTCCATGTTGGAGTTATCGGTCTTTTGCATCATTTTGGCACCCAGCAAGTAAATACACACGATGATATTTGAACAGTAATTTATTTTAACCAAAAAATAAGGTATGCCTGTGTATATTAACATTGTATATGGCCACATATCCTGTATTTCTGCTGGTAACAACACATATTGTACACCACAGATGGCTGCCTCCAGGCTCCCACTCGGCAGTTCGAGCCAACCTGTGACGTCACAACCAATCGCAGAACTTTTCGCAGTCTTGTGACTTTTTAGTTACTTTAACCCTTATTTTTTTTACACCCTTTGGTCCAATTTATTTAAGAAAATCAATACCATAGTGAATTTAAGCGTTTTATTTAGCCATTGACTTGCCATCTTACGAAAAAATTCCGACCGACAACTCGTCCATCATCTTACTTCTGAGCGAGGCCACATTAAATAATAGTCAAATTTTTTAAGTACGAACATTTCTTTGATTGTTATATGCTACAAGGTTCAGGAGTGCCCTCTCCATGCACAATTGGTTACAAACACTGGAAGACATACAACAAATTAAACACATGCACAGTTAATACAATGAAAAAATAAACAAACATTAAAGTACTGTTAAAATATTAAGATCAATAATACGGCTAGAAAACCAACTCGTATGAAAGTGCAACTACTGTCAGTCATACATGAAACCAAACACCACCAACAGGATTTAGTAATCTGATAATGTAACCATTTCAGCATGAGAGCTATGAATGCAGAGTCAGTATTTGGTCATTTTCCCAACATGATGAGAGTCAATTAGCTGCAGTCTACATACAGAGTCCTTCCTCACACAAACTGAGGATCTACTATTTTGTCATGGATAGTAAGAAGTTTTTTCGTCTTTTATGTTTCCTTACATGCATATTAAAAAAGATGAATGAAATCTGAAATGCATGTCTCTTCTGCATGGTATGATGATTACATATTGGTCTCTGTCATGGGAGGTTTAGTTACACAATGGTCTATCACATGAAGGTTTTGTAACACTGGACAAACGTATGAACATTTTGTAATGAGAGTTCTAAAACCCCTACTTCTACATCAGCAGAATATATCAAATATCATATTGCTCACAGTTATCCAGACTTGTGGCTTCGTTAACCTTGAGCTGCGTCCCTTTGTGGTGCGAGCGTCTGCCAGCTCCAGGTAAGGACACTTGACTGAGTAGTGCCCTCCGAGTTGCTTGTACACCTCAATCAGATCTCCCCTTGCCCGTCTGTAGTATAAGCTAGGCAAGATCGGGCACTCCAATCTCTCCGGGTAGTTGAGGTGTCGTAGTGCAGGCACCAGTCTGGTGGCCCTCTTCTGGACATTTTCAATCAGCTGACAGTCCCTGGCATATCTCAGGGACCAGATGGGGTGACAGTACTCCAAACGGGAAAGCACTTCACTCTTGAAGATCATTACGAGGGACGGACCATCTAGATATCTGAACAAGCTTCTTATAAGACCTAATAGCTCAGTTGCCCGATTTACCTTCTCGCAATGGCTATATATTATTTCCTGGTTTGCCAATGCATTTTTTTTGCAATTATTTTTCCTGACACTTTGTCTGTGCAACCCTATACATATATCCCCTTTGTTCCTCTCCTATCTTACACTTATCTTCCCACTTTCTTCAATACAACCCAACCATACAATGCTGTACTTTGACTGAATAATATATTATACTGTACCTTCACCAGTGATGAGTGGGTGGTCTCCCTTAAGGCCAAACAAAGGCCATCTTTGTGGATAGTATTAGAATAAGAGAAAATTGTAATTCTCACGGAAAACTGTAATGACTGATAGGGTCACACTGGACGAACCCATCTCACATCTGTCCCAAGAAGGTATCAAACCCTTTGAGCAAAAGTATTATTATGGTTTTCAACCACTAATCTGGTACTTTCCTTGTCATAGGACACTTTATTAGTCAGATGGTTATTTTATCTCTCCATGTATCAATATACAGTACAGTACCTGCCCTAACATCATACACTCCCAGAGGTTTCCTCATTACTGATTAAAAATTCTCTCCATCAGACAATCAAAATATTTATGAGATTTGCTTCTCGGTTTCCTCAAACAAAAGGAATACATAATTTGAAAATTATTGTCTTTAATTTACTTTTGATATCCATTACTCAAGACATTTTTATTACCCGAGCCCAGACTAATTAGTCATTCATCCGATCCAAATTTACACTTTAAAACAAAACTTGTACTCCTACAAAAGAGGAGTAATATTAAAGTAAACTTCACATGAAAGTGATGAATCAAGACATAACCTGGGTGAAACCTACTCTTCCCTCCTTAGCAACCCATAAACCTTTCTAACACCCAGTTTTTCCCTCAGATATAAGCACTTCTTTCTACCTTAAATCCTCTGAAAATTTTCTCCAATTTATGTTCCTGTGGACTGCACCCCTATACCATACATGTTAGACTATCACTTGGACCAGGGAGGTGGACAGTGGCCCCAAATCACTCAATGCTGTATAACATCACCAGGAACACGGAGAGCATCACCTGAACACACTTTACTTGACTAGTGAAGTAAAGCGTGTTTAATACTTCTGTGACCAACAACTCCCTTTCCCTCTAACTGGCAAATCTCCTACTGGCAAAGATATTTGCCTTCCTAATCTCACCCAGACCTCCAAGTCACCTACAGGCAACTCTTAATGGACCCCATACAATAACTCCTCTGTACACTTTATCTGTCTTTGTCCCACTTTGTGATGTTCCATGAAGTTTTATTTCTAAGCAACTGATATTTACTGGTTTATCATGTGCACATTTCAAAATATATACCGGGTAAATATTATTATATATATAAAACTGGTGCTACACAAGGGCTGTACCCTGTATTATGGTGCATATGGGTAAAAATTACCCCTTTAGGAACAACCTAGAGTAAAAAAGGAGAAGCTTACTAAACAAAATGTAGCAACTGAACGAACGAGGGATAGTGGAACATGCTGTTGGTCCTGTATTATGGTGGTAGCCTGGCCTTCCTTGCCTAAGGGTATCCTCACATATTTGTTGCCCTACCATGGGTAGGTGGAAACCTCTGCCATACAGGCACGCATACCAACCCTCCCAGCACATCAGGTGATGTATGGATCTTTACGCAAGTCAGCCCCCCGCAATACTTTTGTTTTACTGTGTACATTACTGCTCACTTTGTAAAGCCCCAGCAACCATATTTAAATCTAATTTAGCCAAGATGCATTAATGATAAATTGAGGTAGTTTATGGTATATTTCTCAATATCTGTCAGTTTTATATTTAAATATTGAAGACTGATATTCTTCCATAGCACTTCAATAGGTGTTCAATATAAAACTTGTTTTTCAATGCACTAAAATTACGAATTAAGGCACCAATTTCAAATTATACTGCACTTGTAAGCTTGGCCATGCAATTCATTTTTCAAACTGCATATATGTACAGTGATAACATACTGTAAAGTCTCATGCCTCCTAATACTTACATCAATACCTGCAGGCAGTTTGTAGTCATGCTTTCTACCTACTTGAGCCCTGGATATCATGAGAGAACCTTACCAGCAACTGCAACCACTCCTGGGCCTTCACTCTTTTCTGCCAAGGAAACTTCCTCCTTTATGGGAGCAGATTTTTTCTCAGGATCAGCAGCAGGAACGGGATTGCTTGGGATTTCTGTGGGTGGGACAGAAGCAAGGGGGGGTTCTGGGACTGCTGATGGGAAAGTGGATGGAGGGGGTTCAGAGATGGCAGCAGGAGTGGAGGAATCTATTTCTGCCTCACCCTTTTCCTTTGGACCACCGTCCCCATCATCTTTTTTAAGGGCCGTCTTCAGAATCTGTGGAATAATAGAACACCAGTATTAATAAGCAATATAGTTCACATCCTGCTATATATTGGAGGAGGTATGTCCTGTCTCTTCATCAATATGTATCCAAGTTCTAAAGAAAGATCCCAACTTTGCTTCAGTGGACTGGATAATTATATCACCACAGGTTTCCCAAAACACCTATTACTTTCTTTTCCTCATTTACTCCAATTCAATTTGCTACTCACTTATTCTCACCAAGAGCCACCTTAAGATATCTGGAACACTTCACTTCCTCCATTCTATCTTCCATTGAAACTAATTTTATTTTTATCATATAATTTTCTATCAATATCTATTACTACACCTAGTATTAAATATAATGGTGATCAAGTAAATGGGTCGAAACTAATCCACAAAAATGTTGAGCAATCCACATAAAAAACCAGGCTAAGATACCATATTTGTCACTGTGCAGTTTCTTTACTTTATACTGTACTCTAACACTAACCCTGAGAGTGATGTTAAGTTTAAGCGCAGCCAGGCCACCACTGGCACCACTCAAGGGGTATTCTTCGTTCTTAACATCCAGGTTACGTTCCTTCAGCAAAACATTCAGGTCCAACTCAATTTTACCCTGTACTTGGCTTGTCTTGTGATCAATAACCTGCAAAACATTAAGATTAATTAGCCTTAAATTAAATACTTAAAAAACTTAACAAAAAACAATGATCCCTCTCATATTTTGAGGGTTTCCATTCAACTATTCATTGTCAAATGAAATAAATAAAAAATAATTCAGTTAGTTGTGGTAACTTGTATTCACTTCACAAGCATCGAGTATCTTAACTACATTGCCACTAAGAACATATTACACAAATCTGGATCTAGAAATATGAGCCATGGTTAGACATACAAATACTGTAAGAGAAGACCAAAATTTGTATTGAACTGTATTAAATTCATAGGACTTGGTTAATTTGCTAGTGCCTATCTGCCAAGTTTATGCTGTAAAGGGCAATGTAGGCTGGGTACCGGTATGTAGAAAAATAAATACAAATAAAAATTCAAGTGAAACTCAATTCCATCAAGATGACCATCATCCTATATAGCTCCATCAATTTTTTTTTATTCTTCTAAAAACTGAGGTTTTAGGGTTGCACACACTCACATACTCGTGCATGCACAAAGCAGTTGTCTGTTCCCTTCTTTTATTTCTTGTAGGATAAAATAACCAAAGGCACTGTGGTAGTCATGACTGAAATTGTTTATGCCACTAAACAAAGTCAAGTTTGAAGCATTGTCTTTCTTCAAAATAAAATCCACCAGATTCTGACATTAACACCACCCACAAAGTTGTTTACAAAAACTTGAAGAGAAAAATCAGGTGAACACATTAAGTAAAAAATAAGTCATAATGTTTAGGCTAATATTGCTAAACCAAAAAGAATATCTCCTGAAATATAAATCTCAAATCATACCTCAATCTTAAGCTCCTGTGTGCGAGGGTTTCGCACAAGGAAAGTGAACCCTTCTTCAAACACTGGGTCGTTTGTTCGCTGACGGACAGTGGTTTCCTGCTGCAAGTTGCCAACATGTAGCCGCACAAATGGGTCAGGGATGTTCTGGTGTAAACATAAAACTTTGATTAGCATCATTTTAGGGACAAGAAACAATCATCAGTACTTTTCCTTCTAATTCCTTCATCAATTGAACTTGCAGCAAATATTATTATGTATAGTACTGTATTTACTGTACAACCAAAACAATCATAAAACACATGATTTTTTTTTTTCTGAAATTACACAACATACTTTAGGCTAAATTAAAACTGGAACTTGAATATCAAGGGGAATTTCCTAACAAAGTACACGATTTTCTCACCCAGTCATCATTTATAAGATCAATCAAAATTTTACCTTGGTTCTTAACCAATGTGATAAAACTTGAGGTAGTTCTGAAAACCATCAATTACTTCACATCTAAAAATCAATTACTGTACTCAAAATGAGCAAAATCATATTATTCCAACAACGAACCAAAACTTTTGATCCATTAAAGAAACAAACTCATTTGAATTTTCAAACATCAGGACTTGTGTACACCCACTAAAAAATTATTCGGCACCCTTACGGTGTGATACAATATGACACGTGTCGAATAATTTTTTAGCGGGTGTACATGTAGGTTAAGAAGCAATTAGTATAATCATGATACTGAAACCTCATTAATCCAGATCACATGGTGAGCAATGTGTCGATTCCTGGCCCTTCCACTTCTTTCCGTTCTAGTTCATGTCTTAGTGGGGTCACATCTCGGTGCTATTACTATACTACACCTTTTCCAGAACCTCAACAGATTTCATAATCTGAAGTTTGATGAAAAACTAAGTGTTTAAGTGCAAATTTTTGAGTGAGATTCAAAATTAGTGTACTGTACTGTGTAAGTGATTTAGTAGTACAGTACAGGTACTGTAGTATATGATAATGATGGAAAATTACATAATTTAGGAACTATTAAGACTTACGAGTACAGGTACCGGTACATAAGTTAGAAATCGAACCGACACCGAGTTTTTATTGTAGTAGTAACTACAGTATTTCTTTATTTTCAAGTCTTTGACTTTGTAGTGTTAGGAGCACTCGTGAGTTCTTTAAATGAACTGCTGCTTTTAAGAAACAAAAGACCAACTAAAATTTATTTATTATTATCAACATTATTATTAGTGTTAAAACAACTGCCTCTATACTACCTACCATCAGTACCTCTACACAGTACCTTCAGGAGCCAGTAGTTCTTTAGAAGTAAAGAAAAACACTATGTATTTAAATAAATAACCATCTGTGTTTTACAGGTTCTTGTGTTTTATCGTTCTATCTTAATTTGCCATTTATTCTATGTAGGCCATTATACTTTGAAATTTGTAGTAATCTGGATATTTTGCTTAGCTGGATCACCTTTCCTCCTATTCAATCCAAATTAATGACTTTCCCCCCAATCAATCCAAATTAATGAGGTTTCACCGCTATAAACAAACCATAAACATAACTTAGCCCAAGTTGTTACTGGTCACAAGAATAATAAATGAAAAAGTATACAATTTCCAGGTTTGTCAATGTCTTACCACACACACTATCCAACTCAAAAACAATTATACAAGTTCACTATCTACATCAAAACAAGTGTAATCTCATGTTCCAAAATATCTTTTGAATACAAGCAAGAACATTATGCTAGGATCATCAAGATCACTTACATAAAAACTACACAGCACTAATACTAAGTCATGCACTAAGTTAGGCAGGAAGGGGTGAATGTTACAATACAGAATTACGACACTTGTACCAATAGTGTATTATATCTCCAATACAAATCTGTTTCCGAGGAGAGAGGGGAAAAGTTAGAGCAATTGAGATTTTATTATCTATATTTGTTTTCAGAATCCTATACCATTCCTACTCATTACAGTTACTAGCTTCTATTTTCCATCAAGTACGAAAAAAAAATCTCTCCAACTTGTCCTTTTCCTCTTTACACACACAGTACTTAAAATTATCTAAACTAGAAAAGAAATCATTAAGAAAGCAGGAAAGTGTGTGTACTATTTTATGAAAATATCAACATGTCCCTGGCCCAACCACAACTGGTTCTCGCTTAACTCAATATGGTCTTCGTTTCCCATCCACTCTCCATATTGAGATTGGTTTGCAAGATGTCAGCCATGACAACCAAACCAAACCAAACGTTACACAAGCAGATGCAGGAGAGGGTAAGACCTACAGACATAGTACATTGACAAATACTGTACATTATGCTGGTTGACTCAGCACAACTCTGCTCTAGCAAAGGAATTTGGGGTATTAATAATGAAATGGAAAGGAATAAACCATGAATACAGTACACTATCTATTTAACGAACTCTTGATTTAGCGGAAGGAATTTTTTTCCATCATTTTTGGCTCGGTTTAATGAAATAGTTTACTAAATAGAGAATAATTTTATTAATACACTCACATCTACGGAGACACCTCAGACACAGAATATGTACATAAAAACATTATTAATGGCTTACCTTAAACCAGGGGGTTCAGTGGTTTTTAATTTTTTTCTATTACAGTGGTCCCTCGGTTAACGAATGGTTCGAATAAAAAAATTTCGGTTAACGAATTACCTCCCATAAGGATCTTCAATTCGGTTAACGAACAGAACTTCGATTAACGAAATCCTTACGACAAACACGTTTTGTTGTGAGCATCAGCTGATGGGCTAGTCTGCCAATTCGGTTATCTGTTCTATGTTTACATTCGTTTCCAGTGGAGTAAATATCAAGAAAGTTGTGCTCTTTAATATTTTTACATTTTTACATTAAAGCTATTGGTCACTCTGAAATTTAGTTAACATTGATAATATATGGTGCAGTGCAGTGTTGATTTAAATAAAATAATCTTGAATTACACCTAGTGAACTTAAAATTTATTGGTGAAATGATGGCATCAAACATGGATCCCCTGAAAGGGGATTTCTCCTCCATCCCCACTTCCTTCTCTTCTCCCTTCTCCTCCACCCCCATTCTAATTCCCATCATCATCATCAACCATGAGCCTTCTACATACACACCTCAAAGTAAGTGTACTTTCCTGTATTTTGTTTATACTTTGTATGTACTTTTCTGTGAGCTGGAACCAATTACCCAATATCCCATGGAAACAATGAATTTGGTTAACGAACGACCTTCTGGAATGGATTGTGTTCGTTAACCGAGGGACCACTGTATTTCCAAAATTTTCCAATTGATAGCCGCACTCTTGACTTTCTCCCCCACACCACTTCCTTTCCGAGACTCTTTCGGCATGATGTCTAAGCAGAATAGTTAGTTGACTGAGAGGTAGCGGTGAGCAACATACGTGGTGGCAGCAGAACAGCCCAAGCGCATATAAACAAACCCCACGCACCAAGCGGCGGAATTTAATGAATTCACGCTCTATTTAATGAACTAATTTGCTAAATTGAACAAAAATAATGGAAATTTGATTTTGCGGATATCTCGATTTACTGTACAGTGGTCCCTCGGTTAACGAGCGCCTCGGTAACGAGATTTCGGTAAACGAGTTACCTTCCATAAGATTCTTAGCTTCGGTTAGCGAGCATTCCTCGATTAACGAGTTTCTTACGAGCCGACCTGAACATGCTTTCACTTGCATTTGGCGGTCCATCAGCTGTAGTATTAGTCCGCCAATACAGTAATCGGTTCTAGGGCTTAAATTTCTAACCATTCTAGCAAATATCAAGAAGTTTATACTATTCAATAATTTTTAAAGTTTAATCTTAAATTTTTTAGTAATTTTAACAATTATTGAACATAATTGAAGGTAATGAAACTAGTTTCATGCGCACCATCCAGCCTCTCAACACACCATACAGGTGTCAGTCTGTGTCTTTTCAGTGGAGGTAACATCTTGCTTGAGACTTCAACTAAACGCTTTTTTTTTCTGTGTTTGCAAGCAAATTATTGGTCATTTTGAAATTTATTTTACATATTGACAATATATAATGCAGCGCAGTGTTGATTTAAAGAAATTAATCTTGAATTACACCAAGAGAACTAAAATTTTATGGGTGAAATGGCACCATGGGGTGACTTCTCTTCCACCCCAATGCCTTCTCTTCTCCCTTCTCAACCCCCATTCTAATTCCCATCATCATCATCATCCAGGAGCCTTCTACATACACACCTCAGTAAGTGTACTTTTCTACCTTTTTTGTTGAATTTAGGCAATTTTCGGTGAGCTGGAACCAATTACCCAAAACCCATTGAAACAATGGTTTCGGTTAACGAGCAACCTTCTAGAACGGATTGTGCTCGTTAACTGAGGGACCACTGCAACGGAAAAGGGCGGCTCGAATTAGTTTGTTAAATAGAGAAAATACTGTACTGAAGGTTTATGGTTATTTCTGAACGGTCAAGTCTTAATTTATTAATAAAATAAGCAAAACACTGAAAAGCAATTACAGTATGTACTGTATCTATGCAATGCTTATGGGAAAAATAAAATTTTAAAGAATATTTCATCATGATGACGAATATTGAATCCAAGTGGCTCAAAGTACTGTAGTTGTAAAACAAATGGACATCAGTTTACATATGAAGACAGGAATAGTTAAAAGCAAGTAGCAATCTAGAATTGTAAAAGAAACATCCTGAAATATCCGACATAATTAGGGTAAAGGAAATGAAAGGTACAGTAAAACCACCATAATTTGTACTCCTCAAATTCAAAATCACTCCTAATTCATAATGTTTAGCTGTTATGAAATATATATAACAAATTTCATAATATTTGGTAACATTTGGAAATGAGTCGTTTAAAAAAAATACGATATTGTATAGATTTAAGAAAAATTTTACATTTTGTAAAATATTGAATTAAACGAGACATTTATGAATACCTGTACTGTACAGTAAAATCTCGATGATACGAGTAGATACAATCCTTGGAGTCCGCTTGTATAGCAAAAACTCGTATAACGGAGGGAATAATACTTGGGTTAAATAAAGATGCGTTCCCGAGCACCAAGTATAGCAATGACAGCAAATGAATGCAATTCAGTACGAGCGGACAAACTGGGATAGCAGATTCAAACACTGGAGAAGGGAGAGGGTGACTGGAGAAAGGACGGTAGAGGAGAGATGCACGGTCTGCCCGAGTCCCTCACAAACTCATCTCTGCACATCTGGCTGGGGGAGGACAGTAGGGGAGGGGTGCACGGCTGGCTCAGTGGCTCATAAACACTGCCTCCACCTAGTAGGCTACTGGACCAAGCTGTGAGGTGTTACGTCTGTTTTTCAACTCGTATTTTCGGGAAGACATACGTAACTTTCCTCATTTATTTTTACTCATTTACATGCACACGCCATCATAAATACATAGTGAAAAAAGTAAAAACCTTTTTTTTTCTAAAAAAAAAAAGGGTTTTGTGATATAGTCCAGAATGCAACGTCTAGCTTTATACCTAGGTATGTAAATACCTAGCATTAACTCGCCAGGCCAACATACAGGCAATTAAAACGTCTAATAATTACTTAAATATGTAATATTAGGAGGACACGTCGCTACCTGGCATTTAATTGCAATTCTCAAAACCCCCTCCCGCACCCTCCATCACACGCATTGCTACCGTCATCTCTTGCCCTAGAGTGAGCAGTAAACAAATGTCAACTCTCTAGGGGTAGAGATGGGTTGGGTGTCGACGTCGCATTCTGGACTATATCACAAACTGTTTTTTAGAAAAAAAAACAGCCTTTTGTCCAATCCAGAATGTGACGTCTAGCTTTGATTACCCAAGCAGGAGGTGGAGATGGCGTTGCATATAAGGCTCCGTTAGCTTAGGTCCAGATTATAATTATAAACTTTTTGGAACATTTTCCAATATTAGGAACATTTACCAGAAAGTAAAATGTAATTTACATATCCCAATTAGGATACTCGCTTTATTCTGATGAGGAAGAAGAAGGTCCTGGTTGTGGAGATTAACTAGGTGGGGGATGGGACCCCAGTACCTCCACAAGTGAAGAATCTTTCAGAGATAGATGATGATTGCCGTTTTGAAAGGTCTTTGAACATTTCCAAAAGCCCACTTCTTTGATCTGACTAAGACAATTTCTTACCATCCTGTGATGAGAATACATAGGGGCCTCGATTAGGGAATGTGGTTAACCATTCTTGAAGAATCTTAACTGGGCACAATATATGAGGAACCCTCGTCTCATCATGCCGTTTTATCCTGATATGTTGTGCTTGAAAATCCTCCCTTTCATTTTTTCTTAGAATCTCCGTAGGAAAAAAGGTGACATCTTCCACAGAAAATACCAATAATGATGTATTATTGGAAATTGAAATCAGCTCACTGATTCTCATACCTGTTGCTATTGCTAGAAGGAAGGCTGCCTTCTGAAGCAATCTGTCCCAGTTCAGATTTATATTGTAATTAGGCCCCATAAGAAATTTAGTAACTTTATCTAGAGACCAAGGTGGGATTCTCTTAGACCAAGGTGGGATTCTCTTAGACCGAGGGGGTCTCTGAATGAAAAAGGACGATCCGAGCATTTGATAAATTCTTGGGTTCAAAGTAATATTAAAACCCCATACCAGAGGATAATCCAATGCTGATTTCTATGATGCAATTGTAGATCCTTGAAGGCCTTTAACTCTTAACAGAAAATCTACAAATTCTAACACCACTGTTTCCGACAATGTGATTGGAGTCATTAACCTGATAAGTTATTGAAACAGTTTCCAAGCTATCTCATATTGGTTAACTATATTGGAATTACCCAACAATCTATTTATACCTCTTTCAAGAAACTCCAAGCATGAAGTGCCAAGGACATCTTGTCCCGAGGGTGCAGTACCTGGTCTAGACATCCTTGTTGCAATTGTAGTGGATGCGGGAACCATTCCAACAGACCGAGACACCACGGATGTAGGATCCAATATAGTGCAATTAAGAGGACCTTTCCCTGGAACGGTCTAAGTTTTTTTTAACTACTATGGGGTTTAAAGAAATGCAATTAAATGCCAGGTAGTGACATGTCCTCCTAATATTACGTATTTAAGTAATTATTAGAGGTTTTAATTGCCTGTATGTTGGCCTGGCGAGTTAATGCTAGGCATTTACATACCTAGGTATAAAGCTAGACGTTGCATTCTGGATTGAACAAAAATAATTGTCCTAAGGGCAAACCTGTACAGTAGGCCCTCCAAGTTCACAGGGGTTAGGTTCTCAATGTCCGCGAATCGCCAAGTCTGCGAATAAAATTTGCTGACTGGTTTGGGGGGGGGGGGTTTACATTTTTACTTGTGTACAAAGAAATGTATATTCCCTTTATGTGTTTGCCCAAAGGACAATTATTTCTGTTACCTGAATTGTGTGTGTGTGTGTGTGTGTGTGTGTAGACACACAAAACATACAAGTAAATAATAATGGGAAAATACTCAAATAATCAAGCAAATTTATTAAAAATGCGAGTCTACCCTCAAGTCCATGCTTTATTAATAAAGTAATAAAGCACAGACTTGAGGGTTGACGGTCACATTTTTAATAAATGTGTTTGATTATTTGCAAGAGGATTTTTCCTATTATATATGTATATGTGTGTGTGTGTGTGTGCGTGTGTGTGTGTGTGCGTGTGTGTGTGTGTGTGTGTGTGCGTGCGTGCGTGCATGCGCACGTGTGCATGTGTGTGCACGCATGTGTGTGCACACACGTATATACAATACAGATAAAGGAAATTACTTTCTCAAGAACGAATGGCTCCTTGTCCCAGCCGCAAATATGATGGCAACTTTAAAACTACCCACAGACAATCTTAGGTACATCCAAGGTGTCATCCGCAAATATTAGAGGTCCGTGAAATAAAAATCTGCGAATTTGGGGGGCCTCCTGTACTCAAATGTACTAATTAATTTCTAAAATTTCTATGTCGAGTGCAAACTATGGGATGTTTGAACTCAAATTAATCATCATCTTAAAGAATTCCTGCAATGTACAGTATGTTAATTACTACCAAGTCAATTCAGTGACATTTTATAAGCAAAAACTCTCTCTATATGACAAATACACACTAGTTAGTCTTCGCTGCCCGGCTATAAACACCTCACCCCGTCCCCCATCCTCCCAGCTAGGGTGAAGGTAGTTTTAGGCTTAAAAGTTTTTATCCTAAAATGTCGCTGACTAAACATAACAATATAACTTGCATTGCTGGAATCCTTGCAAGATAGCGAAAAACTTGCATATAACCATCACAGTTTACATGAGATAAAAATTTTAGTCCTTTAGTGTACTGTAGTACATTTGAGTACAGAGTGAGTACAGTAGTATGTTGCTCAAAATTATGGCTTTTTCAGAGGAAAATGTCTGTAGTATAACTAACCCCAGTGGTCACTGTACTCACTTCTTGTATCACTGAGCAATATAGCGAATACAAGGTGCAAATTCCATAACCTTGTATCATCGAATTCTCATATAACAAGATCACCCTGTATATATGACTCATGTCGCCATGGGATGCGACCGCCCAAGTTCAGGTTGGTCAGTCTTGGAGTGCACATCGACAATCTACCGTGCAAGCTTTTTCCACTCGGTCTTCCATCCTTATCCAGTGTTTTGTTTCTTTTTTCCCTTGGGAGAAGGGGTCCTTCATATTTCAAAATCTCACAATTCGTATGGGCTAGAGTTACAACTATTTAGAATAATGGGGGTTTTACTGTAATTTACGAAGACCAATCGGGTGAAAAATGATGGGAGGTAAAAATATGCAACTGCAAAGATGAAGTTGTGCAGAGGTGGTCCTTACATTACAAGTGTGAATATTTGCATAACCAAAAGATTTTATATGCATGAAGTAAAAAAAATATTAAACTATTAAAAGAGAAAACAGACCAGAGAAATATTCAGATGAAATATATTAGCAGGAAACCATGAGACACCCGCTATATTTATGAATGCACAAACTTTCTAAAGTAATTTAAATGTTTATGCATTTATAATTAATCAATTGAAACTAGCAAAATTTTGACCAAACATTCATTACATAATTGTGCACCAATTTCAACTACCCTGTAGTGAAATTAAATCAAATATGTACAATATCAAACTATTTCCTACACTAAAATTACACCTTTACCAACAACCATAAGCTAAAATTAAACTCTTGCATGCATTAAAACTAAGTCATACCAGGAAGACAAAATGCTTCATACAAAGCCAACTGTACAAGTGAGCACACCATGCACAGACCATACTTATGATGGTTTACCTTGTGTGATGGCTGTTGAGTGGGTGAAGAGGAAAAACGTGGTGATTAATTACGGACTGAAGACAAAAGTATAAATATTAATTTTGCCTGTAAAATACAAGACCATCAGTCTAACAGTATAAAACTTCTAGATCTGACAGTGTTAGCATTCATGCTCGAGAGAAGAAAATGGAATTCAAAGAAAAATGCAATACGGTACCAAAGGTGTACATGCTTTAAACTTGCATCAACAGCGAGAAAAAGGTTTATAAATTCCCGTACTCGAAACTTATCAAAACATATCGGCTTATTCCATTAACTATACCATAATTATCCAACCACTGCCATCGGAGGCCTTGGGTCAGTTTGTAGTAAGGCAGCTTATTGGCTGGTAACTTATTTGTGAAGATTCACTACAGTTCTTTAATAATTAATAAATTGCACTGTATTTAAATTCTGATATTTTAAGGAATAAATGTTCTGTGCTGATTACTGATAATTTCTGCACTTTTGGAAGTAAAAATTTGTATGTCAAATGCTCTGGTAACAAATATCTTGGAGAAGAAATATATTACTGTACAATATTTCAGCGACATCCTCCACCACGCTGTGTGACGTCACACAGCAAGAAAGAATTTGTGTGGCTAAACTTGTTCATCACGTTCATGTTCAATTTATATTGTTTTTACCAGAGATCAACACAAAATAGTTAACCTCTAAACTAGCAGAATATAAAAACGTTAAAACATTAAAGAACTGTATTGTCTCGTGTCCATCTGCCAGACAATCAGCTGCCTTGCTATAAAGTGACTGCCTCGGTTGCAAAGTGAGTGAACAGGCTATAGACCAGGGGTCCGCAACCCCTAGTTTTCCCGCTGCATGTGGCCAGAAAGGGGTACCGGTACATATACGGCCGGCTGAGCGACATCTAAATTTTGTACTGCTCGAAGGCAGTTTCTTATTTCCATATTTTATATTTTTCAAAGTTATGTTTCTAATTTCTTAACAGAAAATTAAACTAGGCTAGTGACTAGTGCTATTAATACAATGCAGAATATGTATATACTGAAAATGAAAGCTATGTTTAGTCTTAAATATCGGTGTTGTTTACCACAATTTTCTGACAAAATATAGTCCTGCATTTCTGAATTTACATTAAATTCTGTGGAACACCATGCTGACTATGTTGGCTTGGTACACCTGTGGCCGATCGCCGATTACCTGCACCATTAAGTGGCCGACTAGTGTATAAAGGTTGCAGACCCCTGCTATAGATCATATATAAGCATATTTTATTACAAAATACAGACATGCTCAATGGGAAGAATGTAAACTGTACATTTTTACAGAACACCTGAAATAATTAGCTTTGATGTTTGGCATCCTCCATGGAAAAGCTTTCATCCTGTTTGAAATACTGTATCAGATAAATAACACCGAATCTCAGTTTAAAATTCTCTAAATCTAACTACAGGTAACAAAAGCAGTTGTAATGACAGTATCAGTTGTATTCATTTTTTCCAACTTTCAGAGGCACTACCCCGAGTGGTATATTCACCAATCCTAAGTTGGGAGGAAAAAAATCCATATTTCTGACAGCAGTTACAGTGGAGATCCATATACAAGAATATATCCAGGCACATGGATAATGCAATTGCTATACATTATTTGAAGAGTCAGGAGGAGGGTGACTAAATGACTATACAGTACCGTGCAGAGTCGGTAAGCAGTAGGTACTACGGTGATGTGTTTAACATTGACTTCATTGTGGGGTTTGAGCCACCCAAAAGTGACACAGATGAAAGGCACCAAACAATGTAAGTACAGTAGTTATTACAGTAAGTTTTGCAGTAATACATTGTACTTCAATAATAATGAAACACGTTATCTTACACATCATTCCTTATTTTTCATGCATTTATGAACCTCTGTTTTTCTTTATTATGGATGTATTCGGTGATAAAATTACCTTAAAAATGAGACCACATTCATTTTAATAGGAAAATAATTTTTGATAGCTAGCATAATAAGGTATGATAGATTACACTTATTTACATTCTGTATTTTTCTTTAAATAATTACAGACACCACATACTCTGTGCACCAATATTAATGTATTCTTCAATAAGAAACCTTCAAAATGAGACCTCTGTCATCTTGATAGGTTAATATTTGGCAAAGTTGGGGCTATTTACAATAAGAAAAACTTTTAACCCCAATATCATCATCTCTTTTGGGTGGACTTGTCCTTATCGTGTGGAGCACATCACATGCAATACTATACGGTCATTGAATGAACACAGCAACCCAATACAATGAAAATAAGTCACCCACTTTTAAGAATTATCAACCTAGTTTTTACTCATCAATATCATGATTAATGCAAGATAAGGTAACAACATACAAAATACTCGTGATGAAAAGTACTTCCATCACCAATGACCAACCTACAGTACCAACACACTTTAATAAAAACTGTACACAACGCAAGTGTGTTACTCTCTCGTGCAGGGCTCCATCAACCTTGTACTTTATAATGCACCGACTAGTATTCAATTAAAGCACAAAGAATGTTATCATCATCATCAAACTAAAATAGCTGCTGGAGCTCTACAATACTGTACTATTGTTGAGACTAGTGGGTTTTTTAACAGAACTCACTGAGGAGGAATACAGTATGTTTCTTATTGTTTTGAGTAGTGGGTCTACATAATGGGCAACTTACAGTAATAAAACAATTAAGTTTCAATTATCATTAAAAACCAAAATTTGATGTTCTTCAGTGCATAAATTCAAAGTGCCTATATCAGTCACGATGTGATGATAAAGAATGCAGTGTGGGTATTACATGTGAATAATCAGTTATTGCCTCATCTTTGGTGGGGGTAAAAAAAAAAACATGAGTACAGTACAGTATGGTACTTAAATTTTTTTATACAATTTTCAGTCCCAAGTCATTGTATTAATTCTTCACTGATGGCAGATAAGTACAAGTACCATTTTATTAAACCAATCTTTAATTTGTACTATTTTAAGACTTTTCTTACTATTGTGCCGAGTGATCAGAATCAAGTGCCAACCCCCCCCCCCCATTAGAAAGGTTAATTTTACAGGACATTTTTAATTATCAGTAACAAAATAAATAGGTTAAACTAAATTTATAAAACTACTGTTACCTGTGCTCTTTTTTATATTTAAACTACTGAAACCAACTTAGATAAAATACAGTAGAACCTCAAAATTCCAGAAGTTCTTGGCCACAATAGTCAGCTGGGTCTTTTTGTGGCAAAACTTCTCCTGAGTTATTGTGGTCAAGTGCACAAGATCAACATTCAAAATTTAACTTAAGTGTTCAAAATTCAGCAATGAAATTTTATTAACCAAATTTTGAAGATTGAGTTGTGAAGATGTTGTATTTATATAGCAATGTGTCAATCTCCTTGGACATCTAGTAGCCACATCAACTAATTGTCTGGACTCAGACACTCTAATTACAGTATTTGTATGAAGTTCTGTTTATTGCAGAATTGTAAAAGTATTAAGAAGTCTAGTAAATTACAGGGTAGTGCTCTTTGGTAGATAAAACACTGTTTGGTGGTACAGGTACACAGCAGTTACCTTAAAATTCCTATGAAAATCATGTTCAGTATTACTTATTACTAAGAATATATCCCTGTCCCAGAACTTCAGTATTCCCTCTCTATACTGAACTTCTATATGCAGAAATTTGCTATATACTGTACAGTATACTGAACTGCCAAGATTTCAATTTTCTCTCTCTACACCAAACCACTCCAGATTTCAGTATTACACCTCTAAACCACACGAATTCACTATAATACCAAACCCCTCCTCAAATCTCTCACACACTATATTCAAATGTAATATTGTAAAAATAACAAAATTTAACAAAACAAAAATGACTTTAGTTTACTTGTATACAAGAAACCTTTGGTTTGGTTCCCAGTGCATTGTGCCCTTTATGCACAGAAGCATTTTTTTTCTTTTTCAAGCATGGTATTCAGACCATTTATAATCGCCTCAATTTGATACTTTTGGCTCAGATTAGTTTGGGCTTTCATAAAAGGTAAAAATAAATATGAGAAAACGAACTACAAACCAATATTTTTTGCTCCAAATGCAAAACAAATCTAAAAATACCTTTCCCACTTCCAGGCTCAAAAATTTTCACAGGCCAAAACTGCATGCTACATACAGTACAACTAGATGTGGAAAATTTTTAGGTTTCCAATAGTAGAATAAGTTTTTTTTCTACGACACTTCTGCGGTAAATTACAATAAATAAAAAAAATAAATAAAAAAAATGAAGTGCAAACAATTTCATATCTCTGTTATTTACATATGCAATGATTATCATCAAACTGTATTATAATGTGTTGAATTTATTTTTTTTATTTTTATTTATTTATTTATTTATTTATTTTTTTTTTTAAGAGATTGGCATTTTGGGTTTTCATATAGCATGTACAATTTGGGGATATGTAGTGGTGAGGGAGGGAGGCTTGTGGTCATAGAAAATGGATCAACCCCATGCCATTTCAAGGAAAGGGGAACTTCTGGAATTTTTATTTATTTATTTATTTATTTTACCAAGAATTACTGAACTTAATATGCAAAACCAAAATGTAAAAATCAATTAATCCAAAACCATAGAATATTCAAGTAAAAAACATACTCGAAACAAAAAATATAGAACTATTAAATTTTAAAAATGCATGGCTTCACTGTACTTACATTCAGTTTCTTGGCAGAGTCGACCCAGACCAAGAGAACAGCACTATGGAGAGGGTTCTTGGTTGTGGCCTGCAGGGCACGGATTTCCTCCAGTTGCTGGTTAAGAAAAAACAAATTGCTTCAACTACTAATCAGTGTCTCCAAAATTTACAAAAGCTGAAATAAGAAATATCTTAAATACAACATTACAGACTATGGGAGTCCCATACTAGATGGCACTGGCCCTTGGAACAACTTATTACATGCTCAATGTTGAGAAATTTCAGTTTTGTTCACATATTGCTTGTTCCATACATTCAGATAATTTGTAACTTTCTAACTTACGCTAATTCTTTTCCTCTAATGTTCTAATTGTTCTCCTTTCTTGTGTTTTTATTTTTCCCTCTTTTTTCCTAGTTAAGTGAGCTGAGGCAACGTTCGTACTCTCCCAATACAAGCTAATGAGGCCTGCTTCATTTCTGTACCCTGGAGTACCCTTACTAGCATTCAGAGTTTCAAAACAAAGTACAGCTCCCCCCCCGACTCACGACCTACTCGACTTACAACCACCCGCACTTACGACCTGCCTCAGTCGTACCAAAATTGTCAAATTACGTATTTTTGAGTCCCAACGTCAGTAAAGACAAAATTTTCGTTTGTAATTCACTTTAAAATGGCTGGCAAGCTTAAAAGTGAGAGTTTTGTGGTGCTGAGAAGAAAAAGAAACACCCATTTTAGATTTTCTATTTATTATTTAAGCATTTTCGACTTACGACTGGGATTTGGGTCCCTAACCCCGTCGTAAGTCGGGGAGGAGCTGTACAGTTATTTAAAATTCAAAATCCTGTACAGTATACAGTTCACGGGTTCCTACAAATCCTAACACTTGGAGAAGACTCAACCCAACACCGTCACAAGTATAGTACAAGTTTTCAGTGAATAAGGCATTGGATATGTATGATTGCTAAAAATGCATATGAAATAGTTTTTCATTCCTACTCATTATATTAGGTCCTGCTCATTATACATAGGTCCCTGCATTACCAACTTTAGCAAAAGCTCATCTTTTACTTCAAATATCACCTCTATTATTTTAACGAGTAAAAAATAATCGTTACTTTTTTAATCAAAACAAGCGATGCAAATTTCGCCAATAAAAACACTAACAATTAATAATAATTATCAAAAAAGCTCAATAAATACAAACCAACTCCAGAGATGCACTACTGTCATGAAGGTCTAGCCAAGCAGCTCGGATGTGTAAACGACCTGATGTAGCATCAGAGAGTGGAACCCACTGAAAAAATAAAAAAAATATATAAAATCGGTGAATTATGTTATCAGGTTTTATTACGTTCAAAGGAAATTTCCAAGTAACTAAAATGACATTTAACAAGGTCCTCCACAAACACTTTCTGGATTTATAGTAAAACAAAGTTAGATAATTTTGTTCAGGTAATATAAGTGTATTGTTACCTAATTAAGACAGGAGAGCATAATAAAGATAACATAACTAGCATTGGTAAAATGCACAATGTTCAACAAGAATATTGATCTCTGTAACCTGTTTAAATAACTTCAAAATATACACACATGTATAAACTATAAATAATTTCAGGAGTGAGATTATAATATAAAGATACAGTACAGTATATCCAAATAAATCCCTGTAGGAGCAAATGATCCATGTACTGTATGCTGTACACTGATGACCACATATGAAAAAAGAAAACGAAGTTCTCAAGCACTTGTGTAATTCACATCTTCAGGGGTGAGTGCAGACCGAGTAGTAGTTAATAGCAAGGCCAATAAATACAGTAAAAGAGCGAGATAAAGTCCCTGAGTGACCTGAATATGGTGGACACCTGCTGTCCCTTGGAACTTTATCTAACTCTCCTTTACTGTCTGTATAGGTCTTGCTATTAACTATGCTTCAGTTCATATATATATATATATATATATATATATATATATATATATATATGGTTTTCTTACACAATATATTTCATTCTCTAAACTTTAAGAAAACAATGAATAGTGATTGTAGAGCAAGAGAATATTAAGCAAAGCATGAAATGGCATTAATTTTACAAAACACTCACCATGTCCACTTCTCCACTCTTCCAAATGTCATGAACATCCAGATTGGCTCTGTAGGTTATGCATATATATTAATAAAAACCTTAACACTACACAACAATAATGATTATTAAAACTAAGATAGTTACCAAATTTTCACATAAATAAACTGTAAATTCAAGCAAACTTCTAAATGTTAAAGGATACCACACAAGGCAACCCATACCCCAAAAACTTCTCCATATTCTAGCCACTTGAAAATCGTTTTTTTTTTTTTTATTCAAAATGTTCATAATTCAATTCAGGTCTATTGTAAGAGAACATTAAATAGATCTTCTTGTATACAGATTTCTCCAATTATAAAGAATGTGACTGCAGAAGCCAATTAAACTGAACTTTAAAGAATTTGCACGAAAATTTAAATCTACATGAAACCATTAATTCAGTTCATATATTCAGTCGTCAAGCCGACGTTCATTAAATGCAAACCTGTACTGTGTACAGTTGACTTATCTGCAAATCAACTTCTGGCAAGATAAATTTATTACTACGAGTACGTACTACATAACTTGATTCCAAGAACCTTGTAGAGTATCAGTTTAACTAATAAATACTACAGTACTGTACATCAAGATATCTTAAACCAACAACTTATTTCATTACTACAGTTCTACATATTTTATGCAACTTTATATATACTGTACAGGTACATTATTGAATTGTCAGAATGAAATATTAACCCAATTATTATAAACTTCTCAAATTAGCATCACCTGATCTTAATATCTTGCATAAACCCATAAAGGGACTTTAAAAAATGGTGCCATTCTTTTATTTCTCAGCTCAGATAAAGACCATGACATTACCTTCACTTATGAACAGTAAACCTCAAATTAAATGTTATTACTGTACTGTAATACCGAGGCTTTTTTCAACCCAAATCTTCTTTTAAGAAAGGATATATATAAATACTGTAGTACATTACTGTACCAGAGTGGGTGTTTACTTTGCTTACTTTATTCAAAATTGGCAATATCTACATTCAGGTTTAAGCATTAAATTTTCACTCACTTGACCAGTCAAGCTACTTAATTAAAATAATACCCAACTTACATGAATATAAAATTACAGCAATTTTTTTAAAGCATTATTGCATTTAAAAACATTACTTATCAGGTAGGGATAGTAATTTCTATTTGTACAGTCAAACCGAGGTTGCCCTATCATGACAAGTGAATTAAGCTTAGTGTAAACCCAACATTACAATAGTAATAAATCACTCCAAACCGAGTTAAAACACTACAAAGACTGTTTAACAAAGCTGCTGAACAGATGAAAAGAAAGAATGGCCACAAAAATACTGTACATACTTACCTCGGGTAACAGCATACATAATCAGAAACTACAATACTAAGTGGACAAGGGGCTTATCAGAGAAAATAGACAGCAAATAATGAAGCAGGAGTCTGTACTGAACTCAATAAATTATAAAATCTTAAAGATCATCAAATCATTTTGGGGTAAAAACAATATCATAGCAAAGATATTTATCAATTTTGAAGAGATGCATATACTATTTAATTATGCACTTATAAGCACAGGAAGAAAACTGGGCAGAAATGGAAACAAGAGTCAGGTAATGTTTGATAGGTGTCTGAAGACTGTATCAAAGTGCAAGTTTTCTCTTTACTACACAGCAACTAAGATCCATTTCCAAGACAGTTGTCTCGGTTCTTTTATATAAAACCCCAAAAAGTAATCTACAGTATACTGTACTATAATTCACCACTGCCAGCAATTAGCTAACATTATTATACAGTGTACTAATCTAGGAAGTCTCAGACCTCTTAAAGTTTACTGTGTTAGTTACTCAACCCCAATGTCTGGTAAGCACCATATCTATGTTAAGAGAAAATTCAACATCACACTAACAAATAATTGCATCAGACTTGTGTTGCAAGCCCATTTAGAATTCACTAACTTCTTTCTGCAAATCTTAATCTTAATTTTAATTTCACAAAATGTTAAGTCATTAATGCATCCATAAAATTGCACCTAAACTTAGGTGTGACCACTGCACTCATCAGATACAGTACAGTACTTGAGTGTGTACACTATACTTAAAATGCATCAAGACTTGGTTGATTCAAACTAAAGTATTGAACATAAATGTTATTACTTCCTGACATTTCTTGTAAGAAGGAAGCAGGAAAGAAAAGTCTAAAAGTCAAGGAAAAATAAATAAAATGAGAAGACAATAGGAAAGAAGTTAAAAAATGTGATGGTGCATAGTGATTGTGACCACAAACAAGTGGAAGGGACTGAACCACTTTACAAGTTCTCTACAAAAGTTCTTCCCTGGGTATTTAGGCCTATCAGTCTTAGCTGAGAGATAGCATGTGCACATTTGAGAAGTAAAACTACTGTACATAAAAAAAAGAAGCCCTTTAGCACCTATAAACATGTACCAATCTAGTTATCCTCACTTAATACATAGTGTAATCAAGGATCATTAGACAAAAAGAAATTAGGAAACCATTTAAAAATATCTTGATTCATCTGACAAAAGTTTATACAATTTCTTATTTGCAAGCGATATTACTGTATTTACCAGTCTGTCAATATAGAGACTAAACTAATACCTGTATACTGAAAAAAAAATTTAAAAACTAATTTAATGACTAAGAAATGTGCAAAATAAGCAATCCCATTCTAATCTTTGTATCTTAAGAAATTATCTAATGTCTTTTGATTTTGCTGCTGTTAGTTACTGAAGCACCAAAGTAAGTTGCTCAAGCAAGCCCAAGTGATCAGAAATATTTACATATAAAAAAAAAAGTCAATTAGGATTTCATCATGAAGCAGTTCCCTTGCATCATAGTTACCTGAGCAATGGATCATCTTTGAATATGTCATGATCTAATACCTCAAACTCTACTTCCACGTTCCCAAACCTGGTATCATAGCTACAAATATACTGTAAAATCAGGAAAGTGTGTTAGCAATTAACATGCACCAACAGAAATATTAAGAAGAATTCTGGCTGCTGTGTTTGGGGTTAAATTCTGCTTATAGCACAGTGTTAGTTAGGAGCATTTTTTACAGACTTCTAGCTGGGAAATATCAACAGGTTTTGAGAATACTGATAAACAGAGCCAGAAAAAAACTTGGGTTAATGTGATTAGTTTAAGTGTGCAGCATATAACTTCAATTAGAATTTAAAATACCATAAAGAGCATGCCACAGTATATACACATTCTAGGCAACTCCATAATGCATTTAATACAAACTTTAAATATCATACAAAGTAAATTTTTAACTAACAAAAAAGTTCAGACATTACATTTCAAAACCACATAAAATAACGAATACACTGGAAAAGAATCAGGTAGTGGAAGATAGCCTTGGATTATAACTAAATTTTCAAAATAAGTTCAGTGCATGACTTATTTCTTTCAATACTCAAAAGCCTTTCAAAATGCTTTTCAAGACACGAAACCATATTAGATGCAGTAAACGAGTCACGAAATAACTTGCCAGTGACCTTTCACAGTTTACAACTGAACTGCTGTGTAAAACTACCATATATAAAAGCAGTCAGTCAAGCTGACACAGTATGACCATATCAATTCTAATTTGACAAGTTTCATTCTTTCTAAAAACAAAATAAGTATTAAAATTTAACATCTAAATCAACAATTGGAATTCTTCATGTTCTGTTGACAAATCTTTCAACAAGTCTTGAACAACAAAAACAATGTCACATCGTAATGGCTCTGACGAGTCTGACAGTAAAGTTAACTGAGAAGTTTATCAATATGAATCTCATAAGACTATCCTCTGACTAGAAAACTAATGCATGCACAAATATAGGAACCACTTCAACAGTAACAGGTGATCCATAGTGCACTACACTAGTGCACAAGGTGCAAATTTGAGATAGCACTGTTAAACATTGGGAAAATTTGAGGATTATCTGCCTTTACAGGTGTCCTACATTATGGAAATGGCATTCAACTATCAATTGAGTTCAAGGAGCTGTGGCATCTGTCAGATCATTTTTGATAATAAATGTAATCAAAATATGTTATTTTTTGTGCAAAATATATGACATTTGTATTCAAAATATTCCTGGTCTTACAAGGAATCCAGCAATGTCAATTATATTACCCTAACTTTAGTTTGAGGTATTATTTTTTAAAATTTAGTGGTTTTCCCCCCAAAATTTCTCAGAGAGGGAAGAGCCAGCGAGTGTAGTGTGAGAAGAGGGGGAGGGAGTCGAGTCCATTATTTGAATGGACATTAACTTGGACTGCATTTCTCTTTCTCTTAAGTATTAATTGTGTGCATGTACCATCATAAAATTAAGATGTTATTTTTACTAGAACATAGGTATTGTGTCAGAAAAGTAGAGTTTGGGGGTCCGGCCAGTCTCTATTGGAATTAATCCCATATATTCTGTTGTTCACTTAACGCGGTTTTCACTTAACACGGTACCCTGTGGGTTCAATTGACCGCGTTAAGCGGGGTACTACTGTATATCAAACTACTGTACATCTACCATTTTAGGTTTGGCTAGATATAATTTTTGGTTAAGGGTTTTTAATATACTGTACTTATAATCAATCACTTAAAGGAATTAACAATATGTTCTATGTTAATTACATTTTACTTACAGACTGTATTAGCAAGATTTCATAACTGTATAAAAAATATATATAACTTGGGAAAATTTGTAAACTAAAAAAAAATATTAGTTAAAGTTACCACATAACTTTTTTAAATCTTATAAAGCAGAACAATATTTTGATTAGAATTCTGAAACTGTTAAATAATAATTCTAGTTTCTCCATTAACTGCAAGTCACGCCTTTGCAATAAAAAATTTAGTCTTGTCAATGACATATACTGGAGCAACACAGTCTTGTACAGGACATCCAAATGATACAAGTCATTGACAAATGAATCTAACCATTTCCCAGTGTAGTGACACCCTCTTGGCCTCATGCAGGTACCTGTACAAGTTCTCAGGCTGTAAGAAGCTTCAAGTATGCTCGAGTAAATGATAATCATGATCCAAAACTCCTAGAGTTGCAGGTTAAATGGGCCCCAATCCTAATAGGCTCTAACCTTTCTTAATCAAATCATCAAGATTGGGTTGGATTAAGTAAGGTTGCAGCCCAACAGACTGAGATCCACTTGACCAATCACAATCTAATGAAATACTCAAATTGTATACAGTAGTCCCTCGTAAACTTTGTTTGCAGTGGAGTGAACATCGAGTTTGTTGGTCTCTTGAATATTATTGCATTTTTACATTAAAATTATTGGTCATTCTGAAATTTAGTTAACATATTAATAATATACAGTGCAGAAATTATTATGAAACACAAAGAAGACATTAGAACCAATGCACTTTGTAAAGAATATGGCATGTCATCATCGACTGCCTCTACAATCAGCCGTTTGATATGTAAACAAAGGTGCCGGAAATACGACATACACACCTCAAAGTAAGTTAAAATACAGTATTCTATTGTTTTTATTTATTATTGCACAGTATACTGTACAGTACTGTACTGTATTTAGTTCATATTTAATGTTTTGTTAATTCTATTACAGGTATACAGTACTGTACTTAGTATGTACTTTTCTCTAAGTTGGAACCAATTACAGTACACAATATCCCATTGAAATAATATTCAGTTCCCGAAATTTTCGGTTAACGAACGACTGTGGAATCAATTGTGTTTGTTAATCAGGGGACCACTGTAATTATAAACAGAATACTCTATGTGGCAGCCAAGATGACTTAAGAATCGCTCGGTTATTTCAGATTCATTCCAAATTCAAATTGTTCAATTCATTTTTCAAAAACATACTTATTAAGCCATAATCAAAATTATAACAATCCAAATTAATGAGGGTATGGTATTTTTATTAATTCCTCACATTTACCGAGGAAAACTGTACATTAGACCACCAAGGGATAAAGACGCCACATTAATCCGCAGATACTCTAAATTTAATGCTGTGGTTGGTGAAATGGTATACAGAATATAGACCTTGGATAACTTGGAATCCACAGTTGGCGAGAGTCTACTGTATCAAGTGAACCATCAATAATTATATCAAAGTACTGTACGGGTATAGTACTCAGAACTTAATTTTTTTTAATTTTCCCAACTGCTTAGCACAAATGTTGAGAGTATTAAATCTGAAGTTCTACTGTAATTCTATGACTATGAAAATATGAAACGTGTTCTATCATTACACGAAATATAAAAGATTATGTTCAGACGTCTCTGACGCTGTAATATGAAGGTTAAAAGTCAGATATTCAATATCACTTGTACAAAAGCTTTGGCACATTAATCAACCCAAAAATAAAAAAGGCATTGTATCCAACTACAAGTAAACTAAATACAAATGATAAAAGGAGTAATTCCCACAGAGAACATGCTATGTGCTGGGACCCTGAAATAAGTTACCTCCCCAAAAAATCATTCTTTGCTCCTGGAATATTAGCATCCCAGTCCCAGCATTCAATACCGACGGTCTGACGACGAACCACATCACATATTGCCTGTGAGGGGCAGCAAAAGGGGATTATAGTGAAATTATGAGTTGGTGGGAATCTTAACACTCGCAGCAAGGTGCAGGTAAGCTCAATTTCAGTGTGCAGGATTTTATGTTATTTAACATACACTAGAATTTGCCTAATTTCACCTTATAGGCACTTGCCATTTCTGAAAACTAAATAGGTTGTATAACAATCACATGGCAATTTTCAACTTAAATATGCCACACTTTGAATGGTCAGTCATCTTCCTTCAGTTAGTAATACAAACACTAGCATTGGCTGTAAAAGGTAATAATAAATAGTAATTAAAACTTTCACAACACAATCAGCAACATTTTTAATACAAAGCTTAAAATCAACAACAAAAATTCTTGGTTCTGGGTAACGGTATACTACATCCCACTGTTCCAAGAGACTGCCAAGCACTCAAGTGGGCTTCTTCACCTTAGTTTCATAAATGTTGAATACTATAATGCATTTAACATTTTATAGTACTACAGAACATATTTATTCCAAAATTTATTTCATGCCCGTGAGCAGTAGATTAGTATACACAGGTGAAGTCCTGCCTTTATGCTCTTGTAAACTATCATTGGTAACACATCAGCAAGGGAACAATGTCAGGGAGCACTCCATGCAATCTCTCTCCTGATCACTCTAAAAACTAAAAGTACCTGCCCAGAAAGTCATCATTCTCATAAGACTTGAGAGGACTATAGTCATAGTCCCAGCACTCTATTGTCACATGTTGCCTTCGAATCACATTTGCTAATGCCTGCACAGAAACCAAGTGAGATAAATATAAAAAGTTCTTAAACAAAATAACTCAAATTTTGATAGTTCTACTTTGTACTGTGATTATATTAGGTGCTTCCGAGTGCTCATACCGGACCTTGTAATACCTGAAATGTGAGAACCTTATAACTAGCAACTTATCAAAGTCAATACCAAAGCTGTAAAAAAAAGCATAGCCAAAAGCCAAACAAAAGCCCAAATGTAACTGCAAGCTTACCCAGGCAATTTATGGACATGTACAGTACATGTAAGACAACAGCTACCCGTGCATTCTTTACAACTACAGTATGTCATGCACACATACATACTGTACTAACAATAAAGGTGACCCAGATCAAACAAAGTTCTAAAGAAGGACGGAAAACAATACTTAAAATGAAATTTATTTACATTCGTGGCTTAAATTTTCTGAAGACTAATTAAATTATGTGTAACATGTCTGTACAAGAAAAGTCGTGTGTGATGATACAACAGAATGGCAAGTGAAGTAAAGTAAGGCTGAATTGGGGAAATATAAGCCCTTGTCCATATTTTAAGGATACTAAATTACCTTTTGCAATAATTCACCACTAAAATCTCTCTAACAAAAATAAAGGTGAAAATACAAATGATGAATAACATTTGTTTTACCACCAAAAGAATGTTATACAGTACTTAATTATGGAAATAGGACTGACTGGCTTACTGTGAATTAGGCACCAAACTTTCTCACCTCCCTAGTAAATCGTCCTTGGATGGTCCATCATCTACATCGAAAACCTCAAATTCTATCTCTTGGCTTCGAATTACATCGGTCAATAACTGTCAAGTATTAGGTGAGGGAGGGGTACAAAATATAAATGTATATATATATATATATATATAAAGAAAAATAAACTTGGTTTCTATTTATTTGAAAGCTATATACACCAACTTCCAAAAATAAAAACAAGGAAAGGTTGCAAATAATATTTAAACTAATAAAAGGTCAGACAAAAAATTGCTATCACCTCATATTTCATTTATACTCTATTTCCTGTCCATGAAACAAGACAGTAATCAAGCAGATCATAACCACTTCAAACATTACATGCAAAATTTACATAAAAACTGCTAAGCATTTAGCTTAATCAGTCACATTTTTTCATTAAATTAAAAAAAATTTGTACCAAGTGTGCAAGATTTTGGTCAAGAGCCAATGATGAAGACCCATATACAAATATGGATATTAAACACGTGCTCCTTCAAAAAACCTACACTTTTTCCTCAATTAAATAAAGCTCCCTCTAAACAAGAGGAAAACTACCAGAATAAAATCTCAATATACGTATATAACGTGCACTCGATTTCTATCTAATTTTTTTTTTTAATGAATACTTCGGTAACAAAGTGCATGTAACATCAATTTAGTTACCAACAGTGATCTTGACCTTGACCCCAAAAGAACACATGTAGATCACGATGTACAGTCACTCAAAAAACTATCTTTACTGGAGGGGGAGGGTAAATTAATGTCTGAATGAACACTGACTTGTTGCCTCGATAGAGTTGTCAAAATCCTTCGTCCGTTGCGCCATATTGTCCAACACAATTTTGTAAAGATAGTTTCCTGAGCAACTATACACTTATCCTTGCTTCACTACATGTAACTTGCTAACAAAACTAATGGCCCCTAAGACACTCTCGCCCACCCCTCATCTAAAGAGACAAGCATGAACTTTGCATGCGTCCCTGTTGGGTGCTTTGCACAGGATGTAAGGGAGTGCCTAATATACTAGCCCAGCATTGTGTGGGACAAATATGAATCTGAAATCTGACCTTTGAGTGGTAAAAATTTATCCCTAGCAAGTTTTGAATTAATTCATTAAAGAATTTAATTACAGTACAGTAGTACCTGTATTTCATTTGACAAGTTTTAAGTTAGCATAGATGAACAAACACACACAGATTAATACACAAACCCATCCACAGATGGCATGGGGAATGACAATACCCCCAGGCCAAAACAGGCAGAAATAATAAATGTAACAGAAGCTGTAAGAAAAATCACAACAATATAAGAACCCAACCTACTCTACAATTAAAATATTTTAATTACTTAGCACTATTTATTGCATTCTTTTGAAAAATGTAAATCTTCAGAATTTACTTCTTTTGTGTTTTAGGGTCACTATGAGGGTATAGTTTACTTAGCAACTACACGAGTCTTCAATAACATTCCAACAAGCAAACTTAATCGGTTATATGTACAGCAATCACTGAATAAAAATAACTAAATGTCAAATAAAAACCTCACATTCTTCTTATTTTTAACTTTTTTAGTAACTTTATGATCAACACCACAAGCAGCACCTTCGTGAGAACACGCCAGAGACACAGACATTACTGAAACCTCAAGGTCAAGTGTACAGTATACGGCCTGATGCCAAGTGAATGGTGCTCTTTAGAGTAGTAGTTAAGATTTCTCTTTTATTTCAAGATGCAGAGGTGTTGAAATAATAATTTCACTGGCATGTGAATTTAAATCAAGATCCATCATAACCAAGCATATCTGCATAAGAGCTTTTAGCAAATAAATTAGCAGCTTAATTTCCAATGAAAAAGATGCAAAAAATAACCAATTTATAACTGCCAAATAAAAATTTGATCTAAAATGATGCTGGAACCTGCTCCAAGAGGGGTTAATTAAGATAAATTATTACCTTATGAAAGTAAGGAGAGTACATTCATACAACACAAATAAATCTGTTTATCACTTCAAATTTTCTAAAGCTCATAGAACATATCGATGATCATCCTGTAATTTTTCAATACAGTAGTAGTTCTTGTGAAGCAATGAAAGCACACATTTAAGGTCTTCAATATTGAAAGGTATAATAAAATCATAGGTATAAAAAAATGCCTAAGAACATGGATTCAAGATGCATATAAAGTACAGTATAAAGATTATTTTATAATGTGTGTGTGTGTGTGTGTGTACACACAGGGTTGTGTAATGCATCTAGTGTGGCAATATTACTTTCGTGTTAAGGTACAAGCACTGCTTGCTTCCAGCTACCGCCACTGGCTAGCCCTTGTGGCAAAACGAGAAACAACTTGCACAAGTCTTCTCTTGCCAGTACACAGCCTCTTCATCAAGACTCCTGCTGTGCTACCTCACAGCAACACATGGTAACAAGGTGCCTTGTCGGCCAAGGCTAGACCAGCAGGGAACCTCTGAGTAGCAATGGGCCCCAGAGGGACGCCGCAGTCCCACGAGCAAGTGGACACGTCCTGGTGCATACCAACCACTTCCACGCTGCCTTGCTGATTAACCTTGGTGGGTATAAGGCTATGGGAGTAAACCTCGAACAAAAAATCTGCAGTGGAGCCCCGCATCAGGCAGACATGCTTACAGAGCTCCAACAAGACCCTAACGGCAGTATAGGCACAAGAGGGGTACCAACATGGGAGCCCAACGACTTCACTGGCAGAGGAAGGCAATGCAAGATGGACAGGCTACTAAGGCAAAACCCAACAAACTGGGCTATCAGCAATCCATTGCAACTCTCCCTCTCCCCAGTCATTGCAACACTGCCACCACTGGATCAGGAAAGGGGAGAGCCAAGATGTGTGGTTGCAGCTTGCACTCCTGCCTCGCCACATAAATCAACTCGTGCACAGCCGTCATCCAGCTCATCATGCTTCTCATCATCTCAACCCCCTAAAGTTCTGTGGTGACGGGGACAGGCAGAGATGACAGGAGTCTCTGGTCACAACTCTGCACATGGGCGGCATAGATAAGATGGTTATTTATGCACTGGGATCTAGGTAGGCAGCAGTGCAATCCGATCCGGTCTATGCGACTGAGCAGCCCTTCGAGGAGCCACTCTGCTCACCCCACATGAGGAAGGGGGCGAGAAAAGGTGCCCTAAACATAGCCTGCCTAAAGAACAAACCTGACTGGGCAACCACACCCAGTAAGGTCATCCTTAAGCAGTCAAAAACACAATCATAATCACAGATCAAAACAAAAATTACACCGCCTCTCTTGGTTACTGCATAGAATGTCAGGAACCTTCTGGATACAGGTACAAATAAGCACCATGAAAGAAGAACCGCCCTTATGGCAAAGGAGCTGGAGAGGTATAACATCGACACACCAGCCATTATAGTGCATTTTTTCTCAGCTGAGAAAAGATGCCCTGCCCCCTCCTCAAGAGTTACAGCTGATTGGCAGTTGCAAACCTGTCTGATTTTGCCCTGAAGTAATGATGTATTTCAAAACAAGTTAATTCATAATCGTTAAGATGACCGTTTCTGACGAGAAAGATATTTAGCTAAATTATATAAAGATGCATACATTCATTATTTCAAACATAAGCACAGGAAGTTTATCAGAAGTATTATACATGAATTAACTGTAAAACTCTGGTAGCAAATTCACAGAGGATTAAGTTAATATATACTTATTTTTACCCACAATAAAGCATACCAAGACCAATTCCGTATCAGTAATACTACATTATGCAGAAACAACATTTTAAAAGATCAGAATCACTTTGAAATATTACACAACTGTTAGTAGAGGTGGGGAAAATATGAAGTCGCAATTTTTATCTGGTAGAAATGGAAGATTAATCCCCATATCCTATTTTCCAACAGAACCAGGATAGAGTTACTTGTACAGTATAGTCAGGAAGCTTATGGGCTGAAATCCAGGTTCCCAAATACCTAAAACTTAGTACATTCCAGCTGTGCCTAAAAACAATTAGGAAAGATCCTCCACCTCAGTTCCAGTCCATTTAGCACCCTTATAGGAGTTTGGAAGGGATGTGAAACACTCAATCACAACTCAGGACACTGGATTTCATAGGAGTCCTTCATATCTAACCGAATGCCAATTTCAGAAGACTCCCGGATATCTGAGCCAGCTGGAATTGGGAGACAGGAGGCACCACAAAAATATTCTCATAGCCTCACACCTTTCTCCAACATATTACCCAATCCAGTAAAGGTAGTACTGTTATAGAAGAACTAACGTTACACACTCCACTGTCAGTAGACCTGTAATATTGACTATCAAGTATTAGCTAATACCCAGCTCTCTGCTCTGAATAGAATTAAGGGATACTGCCACCTATGAAGACCAAGAAAGATGCAATACCTTTAATGGTATACTGTACACCCAAGGAGCAATGTCAGATTACAAAATTAAGTCTTTATTAAAATACTGGAAAAATAGATCAGGTTCACATTTACCTTAGAATCGAGATAAAATATTAAGGAATGCCTGATAAAGTGAGGCATTATCCCTCATGTTGAACACACCAACCAACACCTAAACCAGCTTAACAAGTACTAGCATGTGTGCAACACAACATAAATTTTAAGTAAAAATACTAACAATTAAGATTGTGGCCAACAACCATAAAAAGTGCAATAAAAACTCTTAAGAGCAGAGCTTAGTTCCCAACAGAAGCATCGGTGGTAGCATCAAACCCTGAGGCTCATGTTTTGTAGCAGAACAAGACCAAAACACACAACATATTGCTCAAGTGGTATTCAAGTCTCTCAACTGGCTCGCTCTTGGGGATCTGTCATACCAAGTATCATTTTCCATGAAATTCCATAGTTTAGAAAGATTTAGCTAACTTAAGTTTTATTCAATTATTTTTTAACTTCAGTCAAGCTTTTGTCTTTGGAATCCTGGTTTCTCACTTTAACAACTCGTTGATTACATTAAAAACTAAATATAGGACATGGTTATGACTAACCTCACAGAAGAAATCCCATTTGGGATTTATAGTGTTGTTGATGGTCTTGGTCTGGAACTTCTGGGCACCCAAACGCAGGATGCAGTATGGATCGGACTTACCCATCCCCATGATGCCAATATCTTTCTTCATCAGATTATGAGCCTCGATAACATTAATACGGAGGACACCCTGGTGAGGTGATGTTCATTTAACATTTTTAGAAACCATAAGTAATACCTAACAAAATTCACCATAGCTCAGTATTAAACCATTAGTCATTTGGTAATATTTTTTATTAAGGTTTCTTTGATGCTCAAGATGTTACCAGTTTATACTGCACATTCTGGCCCAACTTTCTGAATGAGCCATTATTTTACACCCATATTAATTAGGCAGTGAATATGACATTTGCTACAGGACTAACTTTGAAATGGAATTGAATTTTCTCCTCACTAAATCTACCTTGACAAACAAAAATATTGAATTATCCTGAAATATCATATTAACGAGGGTTCAATGTATATAATAAATACAGTACTACACTAGAATTTTTTGGTGGGACAAATTAAGTTGGAAAATATTGAAACTAATTAGGAGAAAAATCAACTGAAGCGACTGCCTTATAAAATATTTCACAAAGGATCACTCTGAATGATGTTTCCTTCACTAACTCTCTTGTGAAGCAATGCATCTGTTTCTCTTGAATTAATTGGGATTTGAAAATATACTTCAGACAAAACCAAAACAAACAAGTGGAAACCATTTTACTTTTACCAGTTTAACTAGAACCTGTACCCATTTCCTGAAACTTGTGAAGAGCAAAATTAACAACACTATACAGCCACCAAAACTCACAGCTGGAGTTGGGCATTTTAGCTCTGCAGTATTTATGTCTTCGACAAGTTGAATGGGGTACCTGTTAGGCAGCACCATCATGTGAGCAATCTGCTCTATCACAATACTTCTCAGGATATCACTGAAAAACAAAATCCAAACACTCGTTTTAATGTTTCAGCACTCAAATGTAAAACTAAAATACTTCACTGAAAAATATACCCCAGTGACAAATGATTATCTCATATCTGATTCAACAAACTCCACATCAAGTCATGTGAGAAAGGTACATGTATACTGTGTGATTGATGAAAATAATTTCCACAACCAATGGCCATACTGTACCAATTTTACAGGTTTCTACTCTGACTATAGATTTCCTCACTGAACATCTTTCTCATCTTCATCCTCTACACTCACATTCCAAAATTCCCATCATATGCACATTCCAAAATTCCCATCATACTCGCATTCCAAAATTCCCATCATACTCGCATTCCAAAATTCCCATCATACTCGCATTCCAAAATTCCCATCATACTAAGTCAGTTAGGCTACACAGTACAATTTACTTTAACATGCCTGTACAATACCTGGAAAAGCCAAGTTTCCATTGCACCAAGATGAATTTGCACAGGAAATACTTCATGTTATGTATGTATATTCCACACAAGACTGCTTCCTATTCAAGATTAATTAATTTATCATCTGACATTGAAGCACTTAGTAAGGGGTTTCTCCACAAATAATTAGTACCCTCCCCTTCTCCAACACTATACAATATGATTTTGGGATCATCCACAATAATTAAGTGCAATTCACTTTTTGTAAAGTACAAAAATTCCTTTGAAAATCAATCTAATGAAAAACTTCAACTTTGATAAGTTCTCTCACCTTAATCCAGGCATGTCAAATACATCAGCCAAACCAATGAGGTTGAAGTCCACATCTGGGTTATTCAGGAAAAATACTTGCAGGCCTCCCACAAGAGGAATCTGTCTCACCAATGGCTTCATCACCACTCTCATCCTACCAGTGATCTGAGTGGAACCAAGTTATCATTTATTTACTTGCTCAGATCCTTCAGAAAACACACATCAAGTTCATTTTCATATGGAAAAACACAGTATGTACTGTACAGCATAAAGAAAGGTACATATTAAATTATAAGTGGCAGCCAAACCAGCATGCACTGAAATCAGCACTCTAACTCCCAGCATTGTAAATATTTTTGGGAATCAGAAAACTAACTTCAGGTACAGTACTGGACTTGAGAAAATACAGTACAGCAGCTACATATCTATACTGTACATACTGAAACTACAGGGTAACCATATTGAACTGAAAACTTTTAAATTCTTGTGTATAATTGTGAGGATGTTGAAGCTTGCATAATTACCACACCATACACCTATTTTTTTTTTAAGATTGAATTATGGCCACCCCACTATATGAAATGAGTCACTGCAATGACGATTCCACACAACGTTTGGTAAGGATTCAGGAACCATCAATCCTAAGTGACTGTTCACATGAATGAAACAATTTTAGGAAACTGGGAGTGTTCTAAAATAGCAGAGGATGATGTTGAATGTATACTTGCTGCCTTCCACAGAAGCCCAAGGAAGTCCATCTGGGACACATTAATAGACAATTGCCACATTTGAGGAGCAGAGAATCTACATTACCCATGACGTCAATAGAGACGATTCAAAAGATATCATTTGGTGTAGTTTTATGCATAACAGGAGTGTTGGCCCATTTTTCTTTGCTGAAAAAAATTAAGATATGTTTCAGCAGTTTGTGACAATGAAGGTAGAGGACTGTCAACTGAACCTCATATTCCAACAGGATGGGGCTCATCCCACTGGTCCCATGGTATCCACTCCTTTCTTGATGCATTGGTGCCAGATCGCTGGCTGGGTAGAGACGGACCCATTTCCTGGCCACCGAGATCACCTGACCTTACCCCACTTTATTTTTTCTTTGGAGTTATGTTAAGTCCAAAGTACAGTATTACCCCGCTTTACACGGTTTCATTTTACGCCGTACCTTGCCAGAACCGGACTTTCACTTTCCGCGGTGCATCTACTCATATACGCGCGGTGAAGTTTAATTATTATAATTTTTTTTTTTATTTAGCTCATAAAATTCATACAAATTACCCAGCCAGAATATAATGTACATTGCTGGAACTCTTACAATATGATGATCATTTTGAATATAAACATCATGGATTTTGCATTAGACATACAAATTCTAGATCTAATGTAATAATTTGGTTTACACAAAGCAAATATTTTATCTTTTGTGCAAAATATATGAAGTTTACATTCAAAATATTCCCTGACCTGCAAGGAATCCAGAAATGTCAATTATATTATCCTAACTTTAGTCTAAGGTATTATTTATTACTAAATGTTAGAATCTAGTGTTTTCACCCAAACATTTCTCAGAGAGGTAGGGGCTAGTGAGCTGGGAAGAGGCGGGGGGGGATTTGAGTCCATTATTTGAATGGACATTAACCTGGCGACTGTATTTCTCTTAAATATTAATTGTGTGAGCATACCATCATAAAATTTAGATGTTATTTTTACTACAACATAGGTATTGTGTCGGAAAAAGTGGAGTTCGGAGGTCGGGCCAGTCTCTATTGGAATTAATCCCATACGTTCTGTTGTTCACTTTACGCGGTTTTCACTTTCCGCGGTACCCTGTGGGTTCAATTGACCGCATAAATCGGGGTACTACTATTGTACAAAGGTGCAGGACAGTGTTCAGCTGAAAGAGCACATCCCATCGGCGGTGGCCTCCGTAACCACCAAGATGTCACAAAATGTGTGGAGGGAAATGTGGAGGGAAATTGAGTACCATTGTGACTTGACCAGCCAAGAACAGTGCATACCATGTTGAATGTCTACCCTAAAGTACGCAAATGATATGTAATCGTACACCAAATGAAACTCGTGCATACTGACTATGAGCTTTGTGAATATTCCTGTTTGCATTATTCAATAAAAAAAATTATAAGGCTTCAAGTTGTTTTATTTCAATGTGGACACCCTGTATTATAACCTAACCACATTTCCTAAACCAACCCAAACTAACCTAATCTACCGGTAACTTATTCTCAAAATTAACATATTTATGAATATTGAAATAAAGTTTTCTAACATCTTGAGAATGTGCACCTCGATACACATTTGGGCAACTTAATACAAATACAGTATCACTGCACTGTACTAAGATTCTCCATTATTTTGGAGGTGGTGGATTGTAAGAGTAATCCTGAAAGATAGAAATATGGGGAATACTTAAGACAAACTGAAAGGACTGGGGCACATCAAATTCATATCTTGGGATTATATTGTGAAAGGGGAATACATTCACAGAACACATCTAGTAAGACGGGTACACTGAATGCATAACAGCTAATGAGGTTGCAGGTTTTACTGTCGATTCTGGCCACCCTGCACTGAGGAAGAAATGGACTTGGGAAGGGAAAACATTTGCAATATGACAAGATCTAGGAGTCAAGACAGGAAACATGCTTCTGCCATAGCAATAATTAATTTCATCTTTATAGGATTCTTTGCCCTCCAACTTCTGACATTACACATAACAGGAACTTTAAATATCATCATCTACTTGTACTTATATTCACAAACCATAATCACCATAAAACACACAAACTGGGGGTCAATTAACTGGTAATTTGGATAAACCAGACCCTATCGACACCCTTCTCATATTACAAGAGGAGGATTTAGCTACTGTAATAATTTTTCCAATATCCAGCTTATTTCTTTGCAAGACATACACTGAATAACAACACTGTTAAATGGTTATATACTACTGTACAGTATCAACAATTACCGTACATTACAGAAACATCTCACAAAATGCAGTTACTCAGTTCGACTTGGCATAAAACTTTTGTAATACAGCACATGAATAGGCATCAAGAGTAAAATCTATTTTTAAATCTTACCTGTAAATCCTTGATGCCCATTTTGAACTTGGAAACGCTCACTTCAAACTTGCAATCTCCAGCATACCTGAGTAAAAACAATCAGTTAAGCTGTCCACCAATATGAAAATAACACCAAACATTTCTTGAGGTGCCTAACAATGAAATAATTTCTATAATATCTGCCAAGAAAGAAGGTTTCACAAAGTATTGACAATGTTACCATTACACTTGAACTACTGTACAGTACTAAGGTCTTATGTTGACAAGTTTCGTAATTACACTAGTCCATCTGCATCTTAAAAAATCGTGAGAACTCTGAATAAAGCATGTGATAGTCCCACTGGCAATTCTCAAAAATTCTCATTTGTCGAGGCCAAGAATTATTACACCGCTCAACAACATAGGTAAAGCAACTAGCAAACAACATTGCCCGGATTTGGGTCAGTGATGTGCCCTGGAGGGCTAATCCTGGTGTAATAGAATAGTGGCGGTCCGACTAATTACCCAAATGTACCCAAATGTAGCCAAATATAGTTGCAATGAAGTCAAATGATGGTCCTACATGAATAAATCGGACTGCTAATCACTTCTCGACTAGTATTTGGTGTCAGAAAGTCACAAAAAATTGGAAAACTTACATTAATCTGAGTTAATAGATCGCGTGCATGTACTGACGGAGCGAGGAATTACCCAAATGTAGCCGCAATGAAGTCAAATGATGGTTGTACAAGCGTAATTCGGGCTGTGAATCACTTCTCGATTATTATTTGGTGTCAGTCAAAAAATTGGTAAACTTAATTTAATCTGAGTTGTGTTGGGTTAGGTTAGGTTAGATTAGATTAGGTACATGCACTTGATCTATTAACTCAGATTAAATTAAGTTTACCAATTTTTTGTGACTTTGTGACACCAAATACTAGTCGAGAAGTGATTGGCAGTCCGATTTATTCATCTAGGACCATTATTTGACTTCATTGCGACTACATTTGGGTAATTCCTCGCTCCGTCAGTACATGCACGCGATCTATTAACTCAGATTAAAGTAAGTTTTCCAATTTTTTGTGACTGACACTAAATACTAGTCGAGAAGTGATTGGCAGTCCAATTTATTCATCTAGGACCATTATTTGACTTCATTCCGGCTATATTTGGCTACATTTGGGTAATTAGTCGGACCCGAATAGTGGGGTCACATTTGCATTCTACTGTACTGTAGAACAAGCCTTGTTTCAGTACACAAGGTGGCAGTGCGGCTGGCACTGTATTCTACCATCTTCAATTGTGATTCACCCTCAGACCTGGAGAATGGTAAAATTTAGACCCACAATAGCTACTAATTAAACCTGTCATAAAAAAATATGCTCCCCACCCGCTACTGTAGCTGCAAAGTACCAGGGTACCTGTAATACAAATGAGACAATTCCTCAACAAATCAATCAAGTGTAACTAAAATAAAACTATCTATTTTCACAACACAGCCACACAGCATATTCATATGGAGTCCCTCAACACATTCTCTTTTTAACGAGAGAAAATAAGTCTGGGGCAGTTGAATGGATGGAGTAAGACGATGTATGGATATGACCAAAACAAAGTGGGGATATAAATAAATTACCAAGGTGAGTACTGTATAGTTGGTGACCCTAGTTCTCCATATTGTGTATAAATATATAAAAAAATTATCTAAATTTGGGAAGACAAAATTCAGTACTGTAGAACATACTGTACACTACTTCTAATACAATATTTCTCAATATAGTACTTGTACAGTATACAGTAGATATGTACAATCATTCAAAATCCATCTACTTGGGGGGGGGGGGGTCAATGAATTTCTGAATGAACAGTCTCCTATTTTCTCAGTAGGGTTGTCAAAATCCTTCTGGTGTCATATTTTCTAATACAATTTTGTATAGATAATTTGAGTGATTGTACAGTGCTTCTATACAAAGTCAGCCCAGTATCAGCAAATATTTCGAAAATCAAGGAAAACCAGTCCAGTACAAAGCAATAAATTCTAAGAATCCGTCCAGTTGTGATTATCCTTCTCCTGAAAACCGGAAATAGAAATCTAAAAATAAACCAATGTAGAAAGAATTAAATGAGGCTGACTACATGAAATGGACGACCTAAAAGAAAAAATATGTTAATAATACTGTACTGTATGCAGTACTGTACTGTACTTACGCAAAATCCATATCCATGATGATTTCATGGCGAGAAGTGTCATCGTAAACCTTCACACCAGAAAACCTGGGAGGTGTGTCTCCAAGAATTATCTTCTCAAATTTGAAGGCATATAGCTTATATTCTTCCAATGCAGTGCGCATACTGGGCTCAATGGAAAATTTGCATAGATCTTGTACATAATGACCAGCATAAGGCCACAGCTGACGGATTATCTGTAAATACATTAATCAGTTAAAAGATGTACAGAACTCAGATTAATAAACAAATGTAAATGATATTCCATTTGTGTCCATATTTTCCTTTCATTACTTCCCCACTACACTTCTTTGTCGTTATTATGACATGTAAACACAGACCATTTCTTCAGTTATCAATCCTTTACTATTAAATTTAACATGTGATCTACTGGGGTGTTCCCCTGCCTCCAGTCATATCTAGCTACCTGACATCCATATTTTTTCCCCAATATTTTAAGTTAAGTCTGTTTATTTCGTCCCTGTGATTTTGATTTTGCCGTTTACAGCGGCTACTTTATTGTGCACCCCACACTCATCCTGTGAGCGGTAGCGCAAAAGGATTACAGTAGAGTTTACAATGGGTCATAATAATTAACCCCCGTGGTCAGGATATTATGGCACTGAATGTTACGCAGTATTTCAATTACATTATTTGTTTAGTTCTATACATGAAGGGTAACTTATTCACAAATGCGTGAGTACAAGCGTGTGAGGCAGTATGTCTGGCCTCACACTTTGTTATTCACATTTGCGTGAGAAGTATTCAAGCACATTGTGTATTTGGTTCTATACATGAGAACTGATATAGTTACTAAGTGCAAAAAAGTGGATACTATCTTAATATGTCGGCAATCTTGCCATTAGAGGAGGATTATGGAGGAATCTTGCTCTCCTGTGTGTGGCCAGGGGAGGGAGGAGGGAGAATGAAGATGAGGAGGAGGAGGAGGAGGAGGATGAGGATGAGAGAGGAGGGAGGAGGAGGAGGATGAGAGGAGGGAGGAGGAGGAAGATAAGGAGGGAGGAAGATGAGGAGGGAGGAGGAGGGAGAAGGAAGATGGAGGAGGAGGAAGCTGAGGAGGGAGAAGGAGGAAGATGAGGAGGGAGGAAGACGAGGGAAGAGCACGGTGAGGGTGGCGCAGTGGTACAAGGCTCGACCTGGTGGTGCTGCTCCCTCCCATAAAACCTCCAATCCAGGTAATAAAATTTGCGGCGGCTAGAGTCACTTGCCACCTCAGCGCTGCCTTAATCCCGTCACCTCAGTGGCCAGGGGAGCTTACCTTGTTGAGCCACTCCACACGCTCCATGTCCGGGAATGTCACCTGTAATACAAAAGCCAATCGTTAATCTAATTCTTATTTAAAAGCCAGTGATGTAGAAATGGGCTATCAACCTGTTATGGGGGCAATATAGTACCGATTTGTTCATTATAGTACACAAAATGCAATTCTGATGAATGAATGGGGAAAATGTGAACGTTAACACAATATATTCACAGAAACAACAGTGGATAATACCCGTCAGTAAAATAGGAACGTTATCAACATACGAGGCCAGATCACAACACTATACGTCAGGAAACCAGACCAGTGTTATCACATGACAATTTGGTTGATACCATACCTGGGGCTTTACTTAATACCCTACGTTTAACTTGTTCCTCATATTAAAGCTATACTGTAGAATACGAAAATTCCACAAATGTCTCAAATTATGTAAATGATATGGTGAATTAGTGAGTCTGGTGCTGGTAATAAGCTGTGCAGGTGCCTGTAGGTGAGGGCGAGGAGTGGAGGTAAGGCAGGGAGCGGTGAGAGAAGTGACGTCAAACACATGAGTCACGATACAGGTGTTTAACCATAACACCTGCCAACCTAAATAATATAGATCAATAGATCACCTGATGATTAGCTCCCAGTTAATTTGGGAGTTAGGTTAAATTATATCAACGTTACGTTAATCTTCAAGTGATCACATTTATGAACCAAACAATAGCTTTATTTGAAGTAGACGAGACGTAATAATTCTGCCACGACAAGTTCAGCAGTGATACAGACGATCAGGCATGAAAAATTCATTCAAACATCAGTACAAGTAAATGTTTACGATCAAATAAGCTGAGGGGAGGGGAGGGGAGGGGAGGGGGGATCTTCAGGTGATGCCAACACCCCATAAACGAACCTCGTGAGCCAGGTGGCGGCGTGACGCAGTTAAAACACCAGTTTGGCAACGCAGTAAAGTCTAGTCACTTTCATTCAGTAACCTTATAATAAAGATGGAGCCTTAGCACTGATATACAGTAATTGTGCCACACACGGACTACACCAGCTAAGCCTGTGTTATACCTAATACAGTACTATTGTCGTGTTCCCAATTCTTGCATGTTCATCACTCCTCACACGTCTTATTATAGTATCAAAATTTAAGGGATACTATTATTTTCCAAAACGCTGCAGGGCTGACACACAAATTAACAGTGAGAAACATATAGCCAGAAAGTTTCATCTAACCATTTAGATTTCGGCGGGAATTGCGGAAGCATTGGTTTGGAAATAAGAGTTGTGGACGAGTGGAACAAGTTACAAAACACCATCAATAACTCGTAAGAAGTGGTAAGCTTCAAGTACAGGTTAGAAGGACATACGAGTGATATGGGCTGGGTGTAAACAGGGCTGTCTAGTATTGGGCCTATTGCAGTTTCCTTCGTTCTAATGTCGTCTCGTTATAATACACCAAAACACTACACCGTCCTCGTCGCTTAAATACTGTACATGGTATCTCTTTCCCAGCAGCCTGGCAATGATCGTCTCTCAAGATCAAACGTTCACTACCCCCAAGTATTGTACAGCACCCTGACAAGAAAGAAACGAGGGATACACCATCATACAGCCAAGCAGTTTAGTTGACCAACGCACCTCCTCAAGTAACAAATTTGTTAAGACTTCATATACTTGTGAAAGGTCATCACATTTAGACTACCATTTAAGAAAATCTTGTCAGTTCCCCACTGGACACCATCTCGCCTCCCCTTCTCTGCTGACACCGAGTAAGTACCACCAGTACATTACAGGTATATCAATTTAATGACATGATCCCACCAGTCCAATTTACTTGAAGTCTTAACACTTAATAGTTAAGGTATGATTGTTGTACTACAATCCAATTTGGCAAGAAGGTTGTCATTATGTTGGGTAAATCCTTCGTTGCGTTACATAATCCAAGAGGCTTTTTTTTAAAGTCCAGGAGGCACAGACCCCACCGTTGCGATCCAGTTGGCATTTTGAGCACATAATCGATCTGCGTAATTGTCTGAAGCATTAGCCAGTTGTAAAGTTTGAAAAGGTGTGAACAGAACTCTTAGTTACTGCGGGGAAGTCCTAAGAACATAAGGATGGAGGAAACTGCAGCGGGCCGATTGGCCCGTACTGGGCAGTCCCATTTACACCCAACCCCTATCACTCATATATCCACCCAACCTATGTTTGAAGCTATCCAGCGTATTCGAGTTGATGATGTTTGGTAACTTGTACCACTCATCCACTACTCGATTTCCAAACCAGCTTTCCTATTTCGTGCCTAAACCTAAATTTGTCTAATTTAAAACCATGGTTTCGAGTTCGCTCCTGGTTGGATAGTTTGAGTACCTTTGTAATGTCCCCTTTGTTTAACCCTGACTTCCATTTATACACCGATCATATCGCCCCTCACTCGACGTCTCTCGAGGGAGTGTAAATTAAGATGCTTAAAGTGAGGTTAGGTCAGGTCATCGGGACTGATTTGTTTTTATTACATTACGAGGTTATGGCCAAGCATACACACCTCCCAAAAGCGGGGCGTCGACTCTAAGCACTGCAGAGATGTCCTGTAAGTGTACGCCTTACACGAGGGCGAGACAAACTACCTGGTCAGGCATAGCTGCACACCAATCACAATGCGAGATCCTCAAACCTGCAGAGGCTGTAAGAGTCAACCTTTTCTTATGTAGATATTCTAAGTAATATTTTTACTAATAATTTAAGTATATTGGTCACTATCTGTGGTGTATAAAGTGAAGGAGGAAACTGGGTTAGTTCATATGAAAATTCACTTTAATGTTTTTGATTGTTTAGAAAATGTTTGGTTAGTTCCAGTAGCAAAGGTTTTGTAATCTTAATTTTAAATGAGTGCCTGAATATTTGTATTATACCAGGGCCATTCTTATCCTTGCTAGGTGGATTAATTGTCATTAGTAGCTATACAGCGAGGACTGTGCGATCGGATAGACGCCATTGATTAACCGGGTTGGGAGTCCGCCCGTAACCCACCAGACCCGTTCCTGTGAGCAAATGTGACTCACGAGCGAGTAAGACTCGTCTTTACCCGATCTACAGTGTCCTCGTCGATAGTAACAACAACCTCTCGTTTGTATTAATGTTAGGCAGGTGCCAGTGTGCACTACTACAACACTGATGCTGGTCCACCTCTTCTACAAATGTATCGTGTGTAAATAACAAGCCTCATTGATGTAAACTCAAACATTTTGCTCATTTAATCTGGAATTCACAGACATTTAAAGAAACCTACAAAATGCCACTGCTTTTCACACACGCTTTGTGCATACACTTGGTGTATGGAAGGTAACAACAGGTTCAAATCAATACGCTCCCATCTTACGTAGTGGGGCTCAGTCATGACCTTGGCTCAGTTCAATTTGGAGAGACCCAGCCAGACCAAGTGGCAGCGGAGTATGGAGGACGGCTGTAACCCGACCTTTGTAACCAGGCACCAACACTATCAGTCGCCAGATTTCAGGAAACTGCAGACAGGTTACTGCTGGTGAATAGCAGATGTACACAAGGATGACGACAAGCTAGCAGTGTTGTTTTTTTTTTTATACACCATCAAAAACTTACTAAAATTTACGAGCAAGGAAGGGTGTGGTGAGTGGAGGAGTGTGGCGGCAAGACGTAACGAGGTGTGAAAAAGGTTAACACTGATAAGCTAGCACAGTGAGCCGATGTTCCCTTCTCTTATTACTGAACTTCCCCCTGTCACATTCCCCCTCCCTTCATTTCCAGCTCCCTTAATCTACCTATGTATACATCAGCGGCTGCTCTTATACGCGGCCAACCTCCTACTTAACTACCGTGGTACATTAATGCGATAATCAAGTTCATCAATATATAACAAACTAAGGTAATTATGTACCAGTATATATACCATCATGGACTTCCCAAACGTATTAACTTTCCCGCCAAATCTAACGAAAATAATAGTAACAGCCACAACACGACCTCCAACACCTTACTGTACACACGCTAAAAAAAAAAATACTGCATCTACCCACACTATCAAACCATACGACACCACGGACGATGGTTATTGATACAGGCCAACGTGGGGCAGGACCAAACTGACACCTCGCAATATCCATAGTCCGTGGTCTGTCTGCTTCAGTGTGGATAGATATTTTTTTTTACTGTGTACTTAGTTATCGCCAACACTTATGACTGTCACTTATCGCCAACACTTATGACTGTCACTTATCGTCAACACTTACTACTGTCACTTATCGTCAACACTTATTACTGTCACTTATCGCCAACATTCATTACGGTCACTTATCGCCAATAATTATTACGGTCACTTATCGTCAACACTTATTACTGTCACTTATCGCCAACATTCATTACGGTCACTTATCGCCAATAATTATTACGGTCACTTATCGCCAACACTTATTACTGTCACTTATCGCCAACAATTATTACGGTCACTTATCGCCAACAATTATTACGGTCACTTATCGCCAACACTTATTACTGTCACTTATCGCCAACATTTATTACGGTCACTTATCGCCAACAATTATTACGGTCACTTATCGCCAACAATTATTACGGTCACTTATCGCCAACACTTATTACTGTCACTTATCGCCAACATTTATTACGGTCACTTATCGCCAATAATTATTCCGGTCACTTATTGCCAACACTTATTACTGTCACTTATAGCCAACATTCATTCCGGTCACTTATCGCCAACACGTACCACCATTATCTCTCCCCAGTATCTGTTCTTCAGGTGAAGAGGAAGCAACTGATAGGAGTAGCACGCCGTGTGTGCATCAACAACGATAACACGCCCGACATCCGGTACTATCTGCTACAACACAAAGTTCTAAACTAAAAAAATGTACCGGATCTACTGCGTGTGATGCGAATGCAACACTTGTCATTTTGACTGATAATTGTGGCTTACATATCTCTGGTTAAAATAACCAACACACATTAATGAGTTTATATTTGTAAGCAGTTATCTCTACTCTGGCATGTGTCAA